GTCATCTACAAATTGTGTACTCTATATTGTGTTCTTGTATATCTGTCAAGGTACGACACAATTGTACATGGTACTCTACCATTATCTTGTATAAAGCTAAAGTTTGATGAAAAAGATCTTGTCAATTAACCCACTAATGAATTTGGTAATATATAAATATATATTATTTGAATGGTGTCATGGAGTTGTTGAGCTAAACATTACACATTAATTTCATAACGTCACGTAACGTAAATTTATTCATATATGTTTGGTTATTGTTAATATATATATATATATATATATATATATATATATATATATATTAGAGATAAAAAGAAAAAATACATTTAATATTTAATTTGAGAAAATATAAGAAAACTTACATGTAATAAAATAAATTATTAGAAATAAATTTTTTGAACATTTATTAATATTATGTTATAAAAAAATAGGGAAAACAAAGGGATTACAAAATATACTATAATAGTAGATATGGCAATACGGTATTTTCACGGCATTGAGAATGCAATACCATTACCGTATCAACCATTTGCAATACGGTACCAATACCGAACCGAATGAATTGGTAACTATTACTTTGGTATGTTTTCGGTAATCTTCGGTACGTATACCGTAGTACTCAACAATTGGTAATTTTTTCTACTCCTAATGTCAACAAAAGTTAAAACAAAACAACTTTTGAAAATTAAATTAGTGTAACCTAAGCTCAGGTGAAGTTGTATAAAGTTAATAATTGTTTGTGTCATTTTCTTTAATTCTTACATATAGGCATATACATTTGATAATATGTATGTAGTTCAATTTGTATGTAATTTTTTTCAATAAAAAATCCATAAAAATAAATTAAATTAAAATTTATCTCACAAGATGACAAGAATGTGGAGCAAATTACATAATAATTAAATTCTTATTTTAATTTACATCATATTTATTTCTAAAGTATGGTGACCCAATTTAAAAAAATTAACTAATCTGTAGTATGATGAACTAAAAGACATGTGGGCTTATGAAGTTCTTTATATGGGCTTCGGTCTGAACTCGTTACGACCACCATCGTACAAAATGACCAAATGGACCTTTATTCAACAAGATGGTGGGCTAACCAATAATGCTAAAGAATTATTATTTTTATTTTATTTTTATTTTTTTTATTTTAATAAAATACCTATCGGAGATGGGGTTAGGCTAAGACCCCGACCTGTCTGTATATCAAAAATCAATGCGTACAACGTACGTCAAAGTGCATATACAAGATGCTACAACCCAATATATGGCTAAAATAGCGAGTGTCCGAGACATGCACTGCCAA